CGAAGGCTAATATATCCTCTTTGTGTAAAAGATGGTAAATCATTCCTTAATGTTTTTAATTCACTTTGTAATTTACTAATCTTTTCCATTTGTACTTTTTGCCAGTGTTGTTAACTTTCCTGTAGTTGCAACTGTTGGAGACTTTCTTCTTGTTTTCTCTCTTGTTCCAATTGCCACTGCTGTAATTTCTCTTCTTGTTTATTTAGCTGTTCGAGCTGCCATTGTTGCAGGTTTTGTTGCCACTGCTGTAATCTCTCTTCTTGTTTATTTAGCTGTTCGAGCTGCCATTGTTGCAGATCTTGTTGTCACTGCTGTAATCTCTCTTCTTGTTTCTTTTCTTTTTCCTCCAACAACTGCTGTAATCTCTCTTCTTGTTTCCTTTCTTTTTCCTCCAACAACTGCTGTAATCTCTCTTCTTGTTTCTTTGGTGTTCTTGTATTGCTGACATCAAATGTGCTAAGCTGTAGTTTGATTTGCCACTATTTGTTTCCATCTTCTTTTTCTTTTTTCCAGTCCCACTCTCTGACTTCAAGTCTGACTCAATTCAACTTTGCAATACACTTAATTTCCACAGGACCTTTAACTTAAACACACGCTATAATTCTCAACGAATGATTCACACACTTTACTTACTACCGCGCTTGACTCAATTGTCCGTCTATATCTTTAATCTCTCTGTCTGCTATACCATTGTTGCCGTCACTTTATTTGCCAGCTTATATACTATAAGATCGCCATTCTAGAAACCGCTAGGACGTTCGAAAAGTTCCACAATCTTTCTAGATATTAATTACGTGTTACCAGCATCATGTGACCTCCGCTGTTGTAACAATATATATATAAAATTATAAACTAGCATATGTTTTGGTTGGTTTTATAAAACTTTTCACTACTAATAAACACTTGGTAAGAGACAGTTTGAATTCTCCAAGTATATCAAAAATGTAAATTTCTTTGAACCCATGTACAGTGCTAGTTTTGATATAAAAGCATTATACACCAATATCCCCTTGAAAGAAATAATTGATCTATATGCGGACTTAAGTTTTGAGAATTATGAAGTTAAGGATTTAACTGAGATGTATGACCACCACAGTGTTGGAATCAAGTCTTTCTCATTGAAAAATTTTTTAATGTGTAATTGAGGTTTAAAGATGTCTCTAAGCAAAATATGTAGATATGAAGATTTTAAAATATTCAATACATTTTCTTCATTTTAAAATCTAGAGAACTGATAACTGGTAAGACTATTAACAGAGGTATTTTATTTTCATCAAACACTACTGCTCAAGTGGTGTTCATTTTTCTTGGGTATTTCTCCATAACTTTGCTAATAAAGTTTTCAGAAAAACAGTCCTTGAGATAATCCTTGATGTTATCAAGTTTCCATTTTGGACATACATATGGTTGTTTAATAATTTTGGAACTTGTACATTATGTTAAGTGGTATGTTGTTTTGTTAGTACTAAAATTTTTAATGCTTAGATTTCTGAAACATAAGTCTTTTGCTGCTGTAAGTACTTAAAGATATAATTAGTTAATTTTATCATTATTTAGAAAAACTAAAATTGCACTTTAAGTATTCTAAAAATCAATTCGATATAGATTTTCTTCAATAATGTAAAATGTACAACATAACATGTAAATCTGCTAATTTCAAAGTACTCAGTCCTCTATTTCATTATTCGATGCAGTCTCCTCTCCATTCTATTAGATGAGACTATAAATTTATACACAGAGATTTTATATCAAAATGATAATAATGGAATGATATTTTCGAAGCATGTATTTCAAAAACTTATGAATTTTGCCACCAAAGAATCCCATTTTCAGTTCAACAACAATTTGTACAATCAAGTCTCTGGTATAGCTATGGGATCACAATTGCATCATCACTTGCTAACAGCTTCCTTCACTCCCATGAAAAACGTTGACCTTATGAGTTGATGAGCCCACTTCCTTGTTTAAACCAATGTTCTATAGAAGGCAAATAGATGATACTCTCATCATTATCTTAAAAATGTTGAAACTGTTTTGAACTATCTCAGCAATAAACATACTAACATCAAATTCAAACATTAACTAGATCATCAACCTCCTTTTCTTGAGATTTTTTATCATAATAAAAATGGAAAATTTGAATTAATGTGAGCTATTTCATAAAATTTCACAAGTTTATATTTTAATTTTTATTGTTTTATATCAGTTTTGTTTAACAAAACCCTGATGGAAATACTAAGTCATTATAAGCATACAAAGTAATTAGTATATATGATATTTTTACCCAAAGAATTTAAAAATATCAAAACCTTCTTAACTAGAAATACCTTTCTAAAAGATATTGTAAGCAATATTATTCATGACTATCTAAGTAATATAAACATTCAAACTGGAATGTCCTAAACCAGGCGTCGGCAACCAGTGGCTCCAGAGCTGCATGTGGCTCTTTTTTTACCCTCTCTCTTTCTGTTCAATTATTGAAACAGGGGTTACATGCATTGCAGCTTTCAGTGTTTTGCATTTTTATCAAATATTAAAAAAGGGTTCTTCTTGTTAGTTGGGTTGCCGACTCCTGTCCTAAACATTAAATTGCTTTAATATTACCATATACAGTAAAAAAAAAAGCAATTTTAATTGGAAATATACTATGTAATTTGTGCTACCAAGCTTACCCACAAGTTGTATTAAAATGCAGCCTTAAAACTGAATGTAAATTACAACAGTTTCGAGTTTTAAAGATTGGATATCTGTAATAAAGGCTTCATATGTTATATATATATGTGTGTATAAATTTTCTAAATGATTTTAGGTTATACTGGATCCACTACTAGGCAGCTTCAAGTGTGCATACAAATTTTAAATCAATGACATCTTCCAACATTAAAAACCATGCACTAAATTTGATAAGCTTGTAAATAAAGGACTATTTAAATTTCTCCCAAGAAATGTTAATGAATAGATATGATGTATAAAAGAAAGTCTATTAATAATGCGTGGAAATGGCTTGAATGGATAATGAAGAAAAACTAATATAAGTTTAACAAAACAGCAAATGTACAACGTTTCGACAAGTTTCTGTCATCATCAGGTACAAGACAAGTTAAAAGGGGCTCAGCCATCTAACTAAAACACAGTGAAAGAGAATAAAACACACAATAATTATAGCAAAAGGCATTTTAAAAAGAATCAAACTTATTGTTATGACAGCGAAAGTCACGTGACGCTGGTAACATGTGATGAGATTCTACAAGGATCGGGGAACCTCATAAACTTACTGAGTATGGTCCGCCATACCTTAGCCACTCTACATCCAGAGGTACATCCTTGTTGACCCACTAGACGCCCTCTATTTTAGTATATAAGCCAGCAGATAAATTCATAACTGAGATAACCGAGTCAAGCCATAAGTAAAGTGTGTAAATCATTGTGAATTATAGCATGTATTTATGTTAAAGTGACTGTGGAAATTCTGTGTATTGCAAAGTTGTATTGAGGAAGAATAAACTAGTTTTATTTAAGAAAGGTATTGTATCGCTAAAGTTCCTCGGGAAGATTTTTTACAGGAAATTAACAAATGACCAGAGATGTAACATTATTATAATAACATGAAATCAACTTTCAGTGAGATATTGCAGAATTTTAAGTTTCTGGTGAAGTAAAGCCTGGAAACAGGATTAAAAAAACTTAAAACAAAAAATACATATTCAATTGTATATTTCTTTGTCTTTATTTTTAAAATGTCACTGAAAGAACCTATAAAAGGCCAGAAAAAATTGTGGATATAAAGTTACACCTGTCTGCTTGATTTTATAGTAAAACTAGTTTATTATGTTATCAACTTTCACCACAGTGATTGATGAGTCAAAAAACACAGAAAATGTGCAACTTTAATAGAAGCAACATTTCACATTGATAACTGACATGAGAGGATGAAATTTTCAATTGCTAATTAACAATGCAATAAAAGCAAGTGCATGATGAAATGAAGAAAATAAAAATAAAAATAACAGTAGAACACACTGACTGGCAAATTCACATAATTAACAGGAAAATTCTAGTGGAGCAAGAAACAGTTACTTGTAATAAATATAAAGATGTTTAAAAAACATACAAAACAGGAAGGTAAAGATTTAAATTCAGCCACATAAAGATAATTTAATTTCAACTAAAGTAAAAAATCCAAAACAAAAATAATTCTAATTTAATAAAGAAGTCAGAAAAATCCTATTTATTTACTTCTTTATAATGAAATGTTGTACACATTTCTTGAAGCTTTTATTATTCAAACATGCATAGTATAGCAAGGCTTCATCAAAAAAACATTGTCAAAGTATCATATATGAGGCTTCTTTTATGAAACATTAAACTGATATCCTTCTAAGCATGAGTAAGCAAGTGAAAATTACAAGTTAATGAGGAAGAATTTCATAGACCTCATAAAAGTTCAAGGATGAGAGTTCATACAATACATTGTGAAATGAGGTTAAGTGATGAGAAAACGACTCAGGATGACAATATGACACAATATTAGTTCTTTGTCCACCTAAGATTCAGTTACATATTTTTTTCACTGTCATTTCAGATATAGAAGGTAGAAAATCCTTACCAGTCTGAAAAATACACTTTTCTATCAGCCACAATGCTTTCTTCTTCTCTGATGGTATACAAAATGTAGATAGCCAAACTGACTGAATTAATGACAAATTTAAATACATAATTGATCCGAAGAAAAACAGATGTTGCTGTCATGGCTAAAATCGCACTAAAGGTATTGTGCTATAAAGTTAAAGAAAGAAAATATAATAATTTCAAACTCTGAAACTAAACAGAAAACTTTATTTAAAATTTCAAATTTAAGTTAACAGGAAAAAAAGCAATTGTTGCAGCAATATGAAAATTAAATACAAAAATGAATCCAAACCTATTTATAGTTGCAAATAATTAAAAAATATCACATTATGGTTAAGTTACTTGGATAAAGATTTAGAATACATTCATTGTATATTGAAGCTATTTAAACAATTCTGTTTGGAAGACTTTTCATACAGTGTACTGTAGAAAGCAAATAAAATTATTAAATGTTTTCAAACACTATTTTTATAATTTTTTTCAAGGTTATTTTAGTACTTCAACAAAAGATATGAAATATCAGTTAGAAAAAAAAATACGGTATTAATCTAAAAACGTTTAATTAATGGTTTACTGACATTCTGTACAAAATAAAAAGTACTGCAAAACATTAATTTCCTTATTATAATTCTTACTTGATTGTTTAAGATATATACTTTGCAACACATTATTTGCATACATTAAAAATATAACAATTGATCTAGCATTATATTTGTTTTAGATGATACTCACATAGATGCTTACCCCTGCTATATCTATTAACTATTCTATTTTGCTGATTGTTTGCTAACACATAACCTATCCAGTAGTTTCATTGATCTCTTTACTTCCTATTCTTGTTCTGAGTCAAATTGTATATGATCTACAAATTCACTAATTTAAAAACTTAGTAGATAACTTAACTATAGTATGAATCATTACAAAATCCAGGAGGTTTTAGAGAAAAGATACACAAAGGATGATGAGAATTATGAGGTGGGATATAGATTTGAACATGGGAAACAGATTTTGCTAATGCTGACTGGACTTGGATCCTTCCTATACAGAGTAATAATAAGAATAATCACCTTAGCTTGTTTCAGATGATGACGACATCATACACTGCAGTTCATGGTTCCAGCTCTATTTGTATATGAGAATTCTAACAAACAGTTAAGATATATCTGGTAACATATATTTAAAATTAACTTTTTTGTGTTTTAAAAGAAAATGTTAACCTCTGTGACAAAGTGTTCAAAGGGAATGGTCATGAAGTGTGACACCTGATGGCAGAGAGGTCAGCCCTGCAGGTAGTGGACTAGACAAATCACACAACACTCCTGGGTAAAAGAGAGATGGAAGTGGTTGGAGCAATAGAGAATGCAAATGGGGCAGGGGAAGAGTGGTACGGATGTCAACTGATGAAACAGAGGAAAACGGTCATGTTAGAGTTGCCACCAAAAGTACTTGACAAGGAGTGTGATATATCAAACCGAGGACACAAAGGACAAGATTAATATGAGGGAAGGCATACAGAAAACCATGAGACTAGTCATGGTTGACAGCATTGACTGCCAGGGCCAAATGATGAGGAACTGGGAACCAGAAAAGGGATGGTGATGGGAATGATGAGAGATATGCTCAACTGAGAGTAAACTTGACAAAAAACCTGAGGGTGGAGAGACCACTCCATGGGTAGAATCCTGTCTGGTTGAGAGAGGTATCTACCACCAAGTTCAGAGCCCCTGGCACATGACAAGCCATGAGACAAACCTAATGGGAATGAACCCAAAACAGCATGCCCCTTGTGCATAAGCAAAGAGCCTTGAAGTGGTTATCACCCTGACAGTTGATATAAGAATTTACCATAGAATTGTTGGAGGAAATCATGACCAACTGATCTACTAGAAGAGAAAGAAATGGAAACATGCTTGATGAACACTGAGAAGTTCGAGTACATTGATGTGGAATAAATGCTCCTCCAGTGCCTACATGCCTGGAGTCATGTCCTCCAGAGATACACCTCAGCCCGACATTTGTGAAAGAATGGAGATCTAGTTGGAGAGTGGCAAGGGGATGCCTACCATGGTACTGGTATGATGAGATGTACCAAACATTGGATAGATGTGAAAAAAGCTGAGGAAGGCTTGACAAGCTAGCCCAGCTGAGCCGCTTCCCACAAAAGAATGCAAGAGTGAGAGAAGGAATCCTCCCAAAAGGGATGAGTAGAAGTCAATCATCCACACAATAACGAAACCTCAGCCCCAATTTGTCAACATGGTGGATGAATTTCCCCATGACTCAAGAGAATATAAAATGAGCAAAAATAATACTAAGAGGAAGAGCACAGAACTGGAAGACTTGATCTAGATGGACAAAATGAAGAAAATATCTGGAGGACAGGGCAATAGCAACATGTAAAGAGGTGTCTGATACATCTATCCTGGTCATCCACAGACATGGTGAAAAGAACCACTAGAGAGAAAAGAAGCCATTCATATAGAACTGGGGATGACAAGAAACCAGTTAAAAGACAAGTTGATAACTGGACACCAATTCAAATCTCCTTGGAGAACACAAAGAGATGAGAGTAGCAACCCAGAGTAGGAGTAAATACTCTCTCAATGGCGTTCTTGGACAAGAGATCTGAGATTACATCTTTGAGATGCTGAAGATAAATGGGATTGAAGGAAGGAGAAAATGAAACTGGAAAAAGGAAAGTAGAAGATGAAAAGTGGAGAGATAGGATGTGGGTGAGAACCTGAACAACCAAACTGTTGGCCAAAAATTAATACCACAGGCTGGTAAAGAGAGGCAAATGGGTTGCTATAGGGCCAGACCTGATAGGGTAGTCACCAACAAGGCAAGGGACAACTATGATGTGAGGAAGCAGGAGGATGGGAAGAAGGATAGGAAGCTACAATATAAAGGGGAGACATGGATTCAGCAGGTCTAGGAGCAGAAACAGAAGGGCAAGGTTGAGAATAACAAGAAACCAAAGTAGTCAATGAGGAATTATGCCAGGCTACCTCAACCTGGGTCTCCAGTGAGTTAGGAACATCCCCAAAGATCTCTGGGCAAAGAAAAGTAGCCCTATAGAAAACAAGGGAAGGCATACTTTAGTTAGGTTAGTATCCCATACCAACAAGACCCAAAGCAGAGGAACCAAATAAGAAGGGATAGAGTGGAAGAAGTATTACGGGCCAATGTGGAATGAACCTCCCCAGCAGAAAACCCCTCCAGAGAGAAATTAATGAAGAGCCTCGGAAATAAGATGAAATGAATAGAAATATTGCAGGAGGGTGGTAAGAAAGAAACGAAAGGTAAAAATTGAGCTCTAGAATGAGAAAGAGAAGTTAAGGAATTCACCCCTGAAACAGGTAAAAGAGATTCCAAAGACTGAGAATCAAGGAACGGAAATGAAGAATGGCTGTAATTCAGAACAAAAGAGTCAAGTAGACAAGGAGATAAATAAAGATAAATGAATATATATCTAAGACATCAATAATACACTGAAAATAAATATTAAGAAGATACTATTGGTTTACAGTGTTACTAAGGTAATTAATGATGTAAAATATACATTTCAATGAAAACTGAAGAGCCATATTAAGACAGGTCTAGCAATTATTACTTTTACATGAACCTTGCTCCTGATGTTAGATTGTACTGACAATAACAATTGTAAGAGAGAGAGGAGACAGAAAGAAATGAAACTTTGAAATATAAAGTTGGTGATTAATTACCTACAATCCATGTCCTGCATTACTTCATTTAAGAATGTTCAGCATATAATGATCCTTCAAACAAGCGGAAGCTTTCATCTCATTTAACAACATGTGCCAAGTACATAAAGCAAGCCAAAATGGGGAATAAACTTTCATATATAATTTATTTTCTGAATCTATGAAATAGAAAATTATAAGAACAGCCATTCAAACATTTCATCACTTTGCAGCTTCACATCTTTTTAATTGTTCATTTACAGCATCCACACAGATTCAACTAAATGAGAAAAAATAGAAGGTATTTACACCCACTTGATGATTTTCGTAGAAACTATAAGATTCAATTAAACAAACAACAAAAAAAAATCACTTAGAAAGTGAAGAGGAAAGAACTGATTTAGGACAAAGAAAAATATTCACAACACAAGGATAAAGCAAAACATAAACTCGAAAAACAAAACAAAAACAACTGAAATTCCAAAATACAGTGAGAAACTGTTAAGGATCATGAGGTTGATAATGATTTGGATCTGGAAAATACATTTTGTTGATTGTGTTTGGACTGAAATTCTCCCTACAGGAAGTGTATGAAGATGAATAATCATGTTTACTCATCACGTGAAGGATCACGCAGAATTCCATCATCATATAGGGCATGAGAAGAGAGATCAAAGAAACCTATCAAAAGGACAAATAGCCAATGGTTAAGACAGAGATAATTTGGATAAAAACATATGATTTATTTTTACATCCACCTACCCATGGATATTCACAAGCTTCACAGATTGTGGAGTTGGAATTATTGAACATTGTATTGTTATTCAGCTGAACTTTAGTCGCAAAAACACAATCACCCTGGAATTAAAACCAAAATGTGGTGGTTAAAAACACTTTCAATGAAGAAATGATATAAAAATATTAACTTTAAAGTTACAATACAAAGCCAATGTTCATTATATTGGGAGTATATTCACTATTATCATATTGAGTAATGTTGCAGATTCAATGATACAACTAAGTATTTTTAATAAGACATAAAAAAGTTGAAAGTACGAAAGTTGACTATAGAAATAGAGCTGGAAAACTATTTCACAATAAAATTTATAAACATACATCTTTTAAAGTTCTTTCTTATTGAAGAATATGTCGTCAACTTTTCTGCTTTATTTCATTTCATCGTTGGTTTGTGAAAACATGGCATGATGAAGACAATTTTTTAAATTTTGCATCTTATGTTTTGCTAACACTTGTATCACCTCTTCTCCAGTGTCATGCATTGATGATCACGTCCTTTCATTCCTATTTGTCCCTGGTGTTCTTCAACAATTCTTTGTTGTTGTTTAGAGTTCCTAACCATTTTGTGGATCCATCAAGAACCTTAATTGTTTGTTTTACTTTGTTTCTCTTTCCTTCTAATTTGCCAGTTCTTACTAAGTGCTCTGTTACGACAGCGGAAGTCATGTGACGCTAGTAACATGTCATGATATACTCGAAGGTTCGTGAATGTTCGAGTGTTTACTAGATGTATGGTATTCTTGTATATAAGTGCGCCAAACAATGGAATTGAATTGCAGACAGAGATAGAGATGACAATTGCGTTAAGCGCATGAATTGTTCATTCGTTGTGAATTATAGCATTTGTTTAAGTTATAGCATGACTGTGGAAATTAAGTGTACAAAGGTACCAAGGTTGGTACAGTCATCAGAATTCAAGGCCAAAAAAGATCAGCTTTCAGAGAGGTTTGAGGGACTTTGCTGGCACTGTAACAAACCTGGGCACAAGAGAGCTCAATGCCAGAAACTTCAACACAGGGAAGATGCCACGGCAGGAAAGGCTGCTACTCAGAAAGGTTTTTGGAACTGTGGAGAGCAAGGACATATGAAGAGCCAGTGTAAGAAGAATATTATCAATATGTCAGCCTTAAGGAAAAAGGAACCAGTAGTGGTTCATGTTGATGGATGCCTACAAACCCCAGTTGTGAAAGTTCCATCAGCTATGTGTAAAAGGCTGGAGGGCCAAAGTTGCAACTTTGTCATACATTCTGCATCTCAGCAAACCCTTGTGAGTATCAAAATGCTGGATCACAAAGGAGTACCAG